GGGACTTGATCCCGGGACTCCAGGATCATGACCTGAGCCGAAGGCAGTCGCTTAACCAACTGAGCCACCCAGGCGCCCCAGAAATCATCTGTCTTTATATATAAACCAGCAATTAGAATTTGCAATTTTAAATAATACCATTTACAACAGTATCAAAAAACTATTGAATAGGAATACATCTGGCAAATAATGTATAAGATGTATACACTGAAAACTACAAGATACTACTAAGAAATTAAAAAACAAAAGACAATCCACTCTCATGGTTTGAAAGACTCAATATTTAAATTAGGTAAATACTTCTAATGTCACACAACAGCACATTTATTAAAAAGTGTATAAATTGGATTTCAAGCTACAGATTGGGAGAAAATAAATACAAAACATATCCAACAGAAGACATGTCCAAAACATAAAAAGATCTTCTATGAATCATTAGTAAAGACAACAACTCAATTAAAAACGGACAAAAGAAATGGAAAGATAATTTATCAAAGAAGATACATGGATGACAAAGAAGTACATGAAAAAATGCTCAAAATTGTTAGCCATTTGTGAAACGCAAATTGTAATCAAGAGATACTAATACATATCTACTAGAATGGCTAAAATTAAGACTGATAATACCAAGAGTTGGTGAGGATTTCATGAAGCCAACAGAATGCTGTTGCTGATGGTAAAGCAAAATGGTACAGCCAGGTCGGAAAACATTTTGGCAGTTTCTTAAGAAGTTAAACATACAAACATATGACCTCGCCATTACATCCCTAGGTATTATCCAAGAGAAATGAAAACATACATCTTCACAAAGACTTATATGAGAATTCTCTAATAGCTTTATTCATAATAGCCCCAAACTGAAAACAACCCAAATGTCCATCAACAAGTGAATGGAAAAATCATGGTATAGCCATATATTGGAATGATAAACATGAACAAACTAACGATGCATGCAAGAACATGGATGAATCATAAAAGCTTTATGTTAAGTGAAAAAAGACAGGACATAAAAATATTCTGTATGGTTACATTTATATCAAGTTTTAGAAAAGACCAAATTCTAGTAATAGAAAACAGATCAGGGGGTTGGAGAGAAGAGGTTGACTGCAAAGTGGCCTGAGAGAACGTCTCTGGGTCATGGAAATGCTCTGTTATGACTGTAGCAGTAGTCACCCATCAAATTGCATTTACTATATGTAAATAATACCTCAGGGGCACCTGGGTGGCTCAGGTGGTTAAGTGTCTGCCTTCAGCTCAGGTTATGATCCCAGGGTCCTGGGATCAAGCCCCATTTGTCGGGCTTCCTGCTCAGCAAGGGCCTGCTTCTCCCTGTCCCTCTGCCGCTCCCCTGCTTGTGCTCTCTTACTCTTGCTCTCTCAAATAAAAATCTTAAAAAAATGCCTCAATAGAATTGATCAAAAAAAATAGTTCAAAGACAGTGACAAGGAGGATAAAATCTGTTCAGTGGCATGTGGAGACAACACAGAAGCAAAAGGTAATGGCAGGCAAATTCTCTCTCTTGGCTATCTGGTGGTTAAAGAAAGAAGAGAAAAAGGAAGAAGACAAGGAAGAGGAGACGATGCTCTCTTCTGAGAATTCACAACTACAGGACTGGGTGAGCTTGTGCTTGGCAGGTCAATGTCTGTGGGAAACCTCTGTTGTTCTTTTTTTTTTTTAAGATTTTATTTATTTATATGACAGAGAGAGACAGCGAGAACAGGAACACAAGCAGGGGGAGTGGGAGAGGGAGAAGCAGGCTTCCCGCTGAGCAGGGAGCCCGATGTGGGACTCGATCCCAGGACCCTGGGATCATGACCTGAGCCGAAGGCAGACGCCCAACGACTGAGCCACCCAGGCGCCCAACCTCTGTTGTTCTTTTAGAGATATATTATGTTTGACTTTACTAGCAAAGATTTCCCACAGACAAAGCCCTGCCAAACATAAGCTGACAATCTAAAACTTCCTATCTATCTATCTATCTATCTATCTATCTATCTATCTATCTATCTATCTATCTATCTATCTATCTAAAGTAGGCTCCATGCCTAGCGTGGAGCCCAGCGCAGGGCTTGAATTCACAACCCAGAGATCAAGACCTGAGCTCAGATCAAGAATCAGATGCTCAACCGACTGAGCCACTCAGGTGCCCTGACAATCTAAAATTTTAAAACACATCAAGAATCAATTAACCATGAATGAAGTAAAGTCAATTCAATATAGCTGGATTAGACACAAGAACTACAGACATTGGATGTGAATATTTAAAATGACTAAAAGCATGAGATAAGAAATTAAGACCACTAAATAAAAACAAACATATTAAATACTATTAAAAGGCCAGTTGACTTGAAACAGAACTTCCAGAAATAAAAAGTATGCTCAATGAAATAACAGGTTAACCAGCAGACTGAACATAGCTGGAGAAACAATGAATCTAAAGGTTAGGTTTGAAGAAAATAGAATTCAGGGGAGAGCTTTATTCTGGAGCTGAGAGAGGAAGATTTAGAAACACGGAGTTGAGAATGGGAGCATCTGGCATACATCTAATGGGACTTGGGAAGAAGAGAATGGAGAGAATGGGAAAGAGGTATTTTCAGGGGTTAATGGCTATGGCTATTCCAGATTTGATGAATATGAACCTACAGTTTGAGGAAACCCAACAAGATAAAAAGAAAAACTTAAAAAAAAAAAAAACAAAACCATTGAGAAAATACAGATTACATAACCAAGAGATAGTCAAACTGACAAAACAGAATTCTCATCAATTTTGAAAAACTCTCGGGTGCCTGGGTGGCTCAGTCGTTAAACGTCTGCCTTTGGCTCAGGTCATGATCCCAGGGTCCTGGGGTCGAGTCCCACATCGGGCTCCTTCCTCGGCGGGAAGCCTGCTCTCCCTCTCCCACTCCCGCTGCTTGTGTTCCTGCTCTCGCTATCTCTGCCTCTGTCAAATAAATAAATAAAATCTTAAAAAAAAAAAAAAAAAGAGGGCGCCTGGGTGGCTCAGTTGGTTAAGCGACTGCCTTCGGCTCAGGTCGTGATCCTGGAGTCCCAGGATCGAGTCCCACATCGGGCTCCCCACTCAGTGGGGAGTCTGCTTCTCCCTCTGACCCTCTCCCCTCTCATGCTCTCTCTCACTCTCTCAAATAAATAAATAAAATCTTTAGAAAAAAAAAAAAGAAAGAAAAACTCTCAGCCACTATGTCTTCAAATATTCCTTCTTCCCCTTTCCCTTCCTCCACTCCCCTGAGACTCCAATTGGATGTGGGTTGAACC